GCCAGGCTACTCAGAATTTCATCAGGTGCTTAATGACCTTTGCTTTTTGTCTGAAGGTAGATTTCTGAAGATAAATTGTAAAGGTTATCTCTCATGATAAGATATTTACATGTGGAGTTTGATTTAATGAAGTTCATATTTGTGTGAGGTCTGAATACATCTGCTAGACCATTGTGTGGAACCGTTGTTTGTTGGAGTAACCAATGAAATAGTTCTATCTACTGATGGGAGTAAATATTAGGTCAGTAACAGTCATTTTTATGCAGACAGTTCATACAAAACATGACAATGATATATCACAATTAACTAAGAAGTGGGAAGATTCTTCTCTAATTCACGCAAAGATTAATGCAATCTGTTAATGACTTTGAATGCACTTCATTCAGCTAGTGTATAAAATAGGCTATAACTTGGTCTGTACAAAAGAATTATTTCATTCCTCAGGTGATGTTTTTCTCTTATTGATATACATTCTAAACTTTGTCCCACTTTCCCAAAAAGCTGTGTAATTTTGACAACAGGAATAATTGATTACTATTATTTTTCTTTACCATAAAAACTAGATAAGAAAGGAAGAGATGAAACCTTCTGTACCTAAGGTAGTAATTACCACTGATAAACCTAAACCACCGGTCATAGTACCAAAAAGTAAAGAAGAAATTGCTACCAAACAAGAACAAGTGAGCATAACCCATGAAAAGGTGAATAGCACTATTGCAACCATATTTGGCTTTTTATCCTCCCTTCTTTATAAACCTTATGTGTCCCTCAAAAAATACTAACTATACATTTCCAGGTCATTTTTTTCTAAAAATTTATACCACTTACAAACTTCTAGAACTACTTAGACTATATTATTCCACCTCTGTCTTTCCCTCCTAACTGTTTTCATCAACAGGATGCCCATAATTCTCTTCTGACTGACCTTTGGAATGGACTGACTGACTCCTGAAATGCATTTTAACTTTTTTTTTTTAAAAATCATTACTTTTATTTAAGTAGGTGCCAGGGTGTAACAATACTTATCAGTATACAAATAGTACAGAGCTGCGTGCAGTGCACAAGCATCTAACCCCTTAATTCTCCTTCCTTGTTCCCATTCCAAAATGCTTTCCCTTTATTCAAATATCTTTCAAGATCATATGTAACTGAAACTTTTATTTCTGCTATAATAATTAGATTAAAAAGGAAGCTAAGAAAACTACTGTAGTTCCGAAAATAATTGCCACTGATAAAACCAAAGCACCAGTCACAGTGTCCAGAACTAGAGAAGAAATTACAGCCAAGCAAGAACAAACTCGTCTAGCTTATGATCAGGTGAATATAGCTGTTGCGGATGTGAAATGCAGTGTTACAATTTGTTTTATCTGCAAACCTCACCTTTTAAGAGCTACTTGGGTACAATAGAATGCCCTCAAATTAATTCCAGACAACATACCCATTAAGTGGGATAATTGTCAAGTAACAGAGTCAGTGTGACTACGTTTCTAGTGATAAAGACGCTTATGTCTCACCCTGTTAGGAAATGCCACTTTTAAGACCACAGTTGGAATTCTCTGTGAAAGGATACTCCCTACCAATGACTTCCAAATAATGTTTACTTGTTCAAATTTCCAACTTTGCAATATTTTTTTCTACAAAACAATTCCTTGCAATTTTATGGCTGTCAGATGAAACAACCTCTCTCTATTACAGTTTGAATTGTATTGTTCTTTGTACAATACAAACTTTAACATCCATTCAAGTCTGTCCAGTTTGTTACTTCTGACAATCAGACATCTGTTGACACCACTTTGTTCCAGCAGGACTCCCAGAGTAGAAAAGCTTTTCTATTAAAGTATAGCCAGGAACTCCCATATGTGGAAGAATAGCATGGTGGCCAAGCGCTTTTATTTAAAGTCGATCTATCTAATTTGTTAGAAACAGTATGGTACGTTCATAAAATGCTTTTATAAAATATAATTAGAAGAGCATCGTATTTAAAACTCACTCAGAGGAGTCAGACCGTTAACTTAGTAGTTAGCTGTTAGTAACTGCTAACAGTTAGCAGTTGTTAGTAACTGTTAGCAACAAGGTACTTGTTAGACGATGTAAATTTAGGGCCAAATTCAAATTGGTAAAAACAATTATTTTGAAATTGGCAACAATGTTGAACAAGAGGTCCCTTTTACCTAAACACTACTTTAACAATAAAACAAAATCTCTGTAAACAATCACAATTTTGCCTTGCTTAAGTTATTTTAGTTTAAAGTCATAATGATTTTAAAATCAGCATGAAATTATCTGTTAATTTTTTTCCCATCTACAAGGCATAAATTTCATATGCTCTGTTGCTACATCCAGGTCAGTCATGACAGTAATAATAAACACTAGTAGTAATCATCCTATTACCACCTATTGGTTGATTGGGCAGAAATTTGGACCCTCATAACATAGAAGTTGACACTATTTATCAGTTATTAGAAACAAATAACAGTCTCAATACAAATTCATTATTTCCAATTTCTCAGAAAGCTCAGTTTTCCTCCTTTTGTAAAATCATTTAAAATAGATTGACATTAAAGGGAATTAACAGATATGCCTATGGTAAGAATTTTTATGGGTATATTCATAGAATCATAGAATCATAGAATGTTTAGGGTTGGAAGGGACCACTAGTGGTCATCTAGTCCAACCCCCCTGCAGTGAGCAGGGACACTGCTAACTAGATCAGGTTGCTCAGAGCCCCATCCAACCTGGCCTTGAATGTTCCCAGGGATGGGGCCTCCACTACCTCTCTGGGCAACCTGTTCCAGTGTTTTACCACCCTCATTGTAAAAAATTTCTTCCTTACCTCTAGCCTGAACCTACCCTGTTCTAGTTTAAAACCATTTCCCCTTGTCCTAGACCCCCCCAGGACCCCCAAAACCCGGCCCATGGACCCCCAGCACCCATCGGTGTCCACAGACATCAGGGACCCCGTAAATTCCCCCCCAGGACCCCCAAAGACCCCCAGCACCCATTGATGTCCATGGACACCAGGGACCCCCTAAACGACCCCACTGGGACCCCCAAAGACCCCCAGCACCCATCGGTGTCCATGGGCATCAGGGACTTAGTTCATACATTCACATCAGATGCTAGACACATCTCTGGATTTTTAGTAGCATCTAACAGTTTTATGGAGCTGATGAGAATACTGACTTTAAAATTATGTGCACATTTACATACCTGCCAAACTTTTAAACAAGTAGCCATAAATGTGACTATAAAGTATTAAACAGGGACTTGTACACAAATATTGATATGTATAAGGCACACAAGCATAGATATGTTCTGAACATGTATAGATACAGCTTAGAAAAAATATGTCTATATTTTAATCTACTGACTCTGAAGTGCATTTATAGGTGAACACATTTGATGTTTACATTATTACTTTTGCATATCTATGCACCCTCTCTTTGTCTGGATTATACTTTACTGAGCATTATATTTATATGTATTTGCCAGATATGCAAGCCTTTGATATAATGATGAATATTTGTATAAATTCTGCCAATGTTATCTGTAGACTGAAGCTGGAAAAAGGGCTGAAGCTGTAGCTACAGTTGTTGCAGCAGTTGATCAGGCACGTGGTCGATCGCCCTGGGAACCAGAACAAGCAGATGAAGCTTATGTAAAGCAGAAAACTTTGGAATATGGCTATAAAGAGCACACTGTAACAGACCATGTTGCTGAGGCCCCAGCAGAACGTCATGTTGTCACTAAAGAAGTTAAAACTGTCTATGTTCCTCCTGAGAAACACATCTCAGCTGCTGAAAAGAAGGAAGTTCATGTATCGACAGAGGTTAGACTCAATTTATATTGCATTCTTTTCCAAAAACTATGTCCCAGTGAAACCTGTTTCAGTTTGGAAAACAGCATCATGTTGTCAACAACTTTTTTATTTGCTTTGTGTAGATAAAACGAGCAACAGAAACTAAAACTGAGAAAACAATTCACGTTGAACACCCGCGACCCCGCACAGCAAGTCCTCACTTCACTGTCTCCAAAATTGCTGTTCCTAAACCTGATCATACATATGAGGTAAGAAGTAAAAACTGTATCCAAGAAGAACAGCATGCTCATTTATAATAACCAGTAGGTCACCCATTCCATTTGACTTTTCCTCCCACTCCAGTATGGTGCTTTCCCAAGAAGAAGAAGAGTTGTATGCTCTCTACAGTTGTTAGTCAAACGAGCCAACAAAAACAAAGAGCAGACACATGGACAGATAAAATGTGATTTGTAATTATTAGTTACTTAAACAAGATTTTTGTCTATAAAAATTACCTAAATTATTTTTTTCTTTAAATGTTTACATAAGTTTTCCAGAAGTTATTTCACCTACAGTAACATTTTGAAATCTCTTCAATATTTTAATTACTGACAGTTATGTAATTAGTATTATTGTTTATTGCAGTATCAGACTGATTAAATGGAAAGCTAAAGCCTCAGGTGAATAAATTTAGAGGACATTTCTCTTGTGGCACTTAAGAGCTTCTTGACCATTTAAAGATCAAATTCTAAAGTAAAAAAAGAGAAAATATTTCAATGTTAGACATATCAAAAATAATACAAGGATATTATATCTCCAGTATTTTACTACTGCAATCTAAAACTAGAAGTAATTTTTGTATATATAGCTTTTGCAGTGTCAACAAGTAACTAACTAAGGAAGAAACTGGTGCATATGCAATCTGCTCAAGAAACGTACTGTCTCCTTTGAAAACAAGAGAACAACAAAGCTTTAACTCTTCCTCTTCTGTTCCGTAGGTTTCAATAGCTGGATCTGCCATGGCTACTCTGGAAAAAGAGTTATCAGCTACTTCTGCTGCGCAAAAGATCACCAAGCCTGTGAAACCACCCCAGCTAAAGCCACATGAAGTCAGGATAAAAGCAGAGCCAGTTGCCCCGCCACAGTTTCCCTTTGGAGAGGCTGCTGAGACCTATAAAAAAGAGACGGGTGTGAGCATTAAAGGTGAAGCAGTGCGGGAAGAACACTTGGTATTGCGGAAAGAAGGTGAAGCAAAGGTATGTTATTAAAGCAAATTTCCAACACTTTGACTTTGATCTTAAAAACATAGCACAGCCTCACTTGTTTGCTGTTTCTTCACTGCAATTTCCCACTTCTACAGCATTCTTCTGACTTTTATCTTGGTTGTTTTACACAAATCTTTCTTAAGACCTAATATTTACCTATGTCAAGCGAAGAGTTCTTGACCTGATTTATTTTCTTATCTAAATTCTGCTGTTCATGCCCTTGGCTTTGTGAGGTATTTATTAACTGTGCTTTAAACAACCTAGGTGACAGAAACTGCCAGAGTTCCTGTGCCTGCAGAAATCCCTGCTACTCCGCCCACCTTAGTCTCAGTAAGTAATTTGTATGTAGATTAGGGGTGTTACACTCTGTTTTCACCTGTTTTGTATTGTAACTTTTATCTTTGAAAACCTGACCATGAAAATTTGACTTTATTTAATCTTTTTAACCCTGTATTAGACTTACTCAACCATACAATTTATCTCTGACACAAACTATTCTGAATGTCTATTACGGGGTGATTCTTCACAATTATGTCACATAGTAGGTTGACCTTTGCTGCAGTGAAAAAATTCCTCACCATGATCTGCATAACAATCAACCTACCTTTTCATTTTCTTCTCAGTAACTGTAATGTCCGGAGATCCCAAATTTACTTTCAAATACTTCCCTGTGGAAAATGCCTCTTTTTTTTTTTTTCCCCCTGGATACGCTGCTGAACAGAATACTGTTTTGAAGTAGACATTAAATTTTCCGTTCAAACTGGTTTTATTTATTTAGATGTCTGTTTAGTAATGAAAATATGTACTGACTGTGATACTTATTTTTTGTCATACAGGGCCTCAAAAATAAGACAGTGACTGAAGGTGAGTCTGTCACTCTGGAGTGCCATATCTCTGGTCACCCTCAGCCTACTGTGACATGGTACAGGGAAGACTACAAGATTGAAAGCTCAATGGACTTCCAGATCACTTTCAAAGCAGGGCTTGCTCGCCTTGTGATTCGTGAAGCCTTTGCAGAAGACAGTGGAAGATTTACCTGCACTGCTACCAATAAGGCTGGGAGTGTCAGCACATCTTGCCACTTATATGTGAAAGGTAAGCGTATTTATCACTGTAGGAAGATTATAATTTTGTTAACTGCATGTTACTTGTAATGTAATTTAGATGTTTTGTCAGCTCTCAAGTAGAATATATGCCTTGGATTGTATTCCAGGGCTGTTAGGTAACAGGGCTGCAAGTATATGAGGAAAAGGCCAACTATGGCCAATGGAGACTCTTAACTTGCTTCCTCAGTGGTAGTACCTGGCTCTCTGAGTCAACTAACTACTTAACCTTCTCGCTCTTTGTGTCAAGTAAACTCACTGCTTAAGCACTATTAAAGTATTTTAAAATCCATTATACCATATTTACCTTTTAGTTTCAGAAGAAATTGAGACTCGAGAAACCATTTCTGAGAAGGCTGTTACAGAAGAGAAACGGTAAAGTTACTTTCCTAAACAGACTGCTTCTACTGTGGTCATCTGTTTCTTGCATTCTGTTTATGAAAGCTTCAGCCATCAGTTCACTTACCTGTACTGGAATCTTATTTCAGCTATGTGGAGACAAAGGACATTGTAATGGAAGATGTCTCTGCTGCAGCAGAAGAAGTATCGGGAGAACCCATACCTCCTTTCTTCATAAGAAAACCCATAGTACATAAATTAATTGAAGGTGGGAGCATTATTTTTGAATGCCAAGTAGGGGGCAACCCAAAGCCACACGTCTACTGGAAAAAAGGTGGAGTTCCTCTAACGACTGGCTACAGGTACTTTGAATACAATGCAAAAACCCTATTTAAACATAATTTTAAAGAATATTTAATTGACAGTACCATAATTTTTATTTCTTTACTGATGCTGAGCCAAATAACATCACCGATTTCTGTGAAATTTTATTTTTTTTAATGGATAGATCATAGGATTGTGTCCTAATGTGAGACTTTAGAAGGCTGCTAAGTTTTAAAATATGAATATTCAAAAGACTATAAAATGAGAAATGCTACATGTCCTTAAAAACAAATCAGGAGGAAGTTTTGCATTTTTTTTATTCTGTCTATGCAATGTTTGCATTCTGTCTACACAAATGTCATCTATAAAAAGCAACATTCTTTCTAGAAGAGAAAAAAACCCCATGTGTAGCATTCTTGAAATATATCATGCTATAATGACCCATATTAGGACAAACTAAGTGCACACAACATATAACATTTGGCTTGTCTGATAAGTAAATCTCTGATATTTCAGTACTGATTTTTGCAACGCATTTATTTCAGTAATGACAGAAATAAAGTAGACCTATTCCCTAATTTCAGCATGGTTACTTTTCCTATGCTGTTCATCATTCTCATTGTGTGAGAATTGCCTCCAAAAGTTTCTCTCTTTTTTGTCTTGTGTAAGTTAGTAGTGATTCCGATTAATAGTGTATCTAAAAGCAAATTCACTAAGAAAGTCAGTTCATCAGAATTATAGAGAGCTTGTACTATTATCTTTCCTCTAGATACAAAGTGAGTTACAAAAGAGAAACCGGGGAATGCAAACTTGAAATTTCCATGACTTTTGCCGATGATGCCGGAGAATACACTATTGTTGTTCGCAATAAATACGGAGAAGCTTCTGCAACGGTCTCCTTACTAGAAGAAGGTACATTGTTGATTAAAGAAATGGGAAAAATATTTCTTAAAATTACCTTTGAAATGGGAAAAAGATTTTAAATTTTGCTGCAAACTCTTTGCAGCTTACTTTGGTCAATTCAAGAAATATAAAAGGAGACCTGGTGGCTCTGTTTCTGCAAGACAGAGTATTTGACATCAGCTTCTTGAAGGACTTACATTCTTTTCTGGAATGTGTAGCTGTAGGAACCTCCTTCTGTTGATGTCTATAACAGTCTACATAACATAAGATATTTAGAGAGTGTTGTGGGGAAAGGAAGTCCATCAAGTAATAGGTTGTTCTATTAATTACAGGGAAAGAAGCAAACTTTTTCTTTTGCTTTCAATTGTCCTTGTAAAAATGTATGAAAGTTTGCAGGAGACAGAGCCACAGTGAAGAACTTGTAAAAGAGTCTCTATCTCTACAGGTGCTTCCACTTTGAGAACTAGAACACCTAAATAGATAGCACAGTAAAACTTTTATCTGTTTATAAAGCTCATCTGAGGGCATCAGTCTTTGCATTTTATTACTGTTTGTATTTTATTGGCTAAACAGACAGAAACTCTGCTTGAATCAGCAAAACCAGTAAAATAAGTTTCTACTTGTTTTCACTATGCAATCCCGTTGAAAAACCATAAAAACTTACCAAAATCAATGTGTTCTTAATTCTTAGCTGATTATGAAGCCTATATAAAATCGCAACAAGAAATGATGTACCAAACTCAAGTGACTGCATATGTCCAGGAACCTAAAGTGGCTGAGGTAGCCCCAGCTATTTCATACGGTGACTTTGAAAAAGAATACGAAAAAGAACAAGCCCTAATTAGGAAGAAAATGGCGAAAGATACAGTGATGGTCAGAACTTTTGTAGAAGATGAGGTATGCCTACCACTCCATACTCGTTTTGTGTACTGACATTTTACCAGTACAAATCACTTCTTTACAAGGTTGTTATCTGGCACACAGAACTAAGGGTCTTGCTTTTCTGTACAGGAATTCCATATTTCTTCTTTTGAAGAAAGACTTATCAAGGAAATTGAACTCAGAATTATTAAGACCACCTTAGATGAGCTTCTTGAAGAAGACGGAGAGGAAATGATGGTTGATATTTCTGAATCTGAAGCTATAGAAGCAGGATTTGATTTAAGATTAAAGAATTACAGAACCTTTGAAGGGACAGGAGTTACTTTCCATTGCAAGACAACTGGATATCCATTGCCGAAGGTACCCCAACCTGTATGATGTTAATCTATTTAAAAAAAACATCTGGTGCTCTACTTGAAAAATCCCTTAACATTTCAGTGCCAGACATTCTTCATTCTGCATAGAAAACAGCAAATCTCAAAGGAAACCCAGGCTTTTGTTTTGATATAAACTTGAATTTTCCTTTTGTCCTTTAATAAAATAGCATTAGGTTGGCTAGCCAGTTCAGAGGTAGGTTAGGTTTGCCAGTTAAATTGGTCTTGCTTCTGAGTATCTCCAAGTTAGCCCACACAAATGGGGAACACAGTAGCAAGACCAGTCTAGGTCACTTTGCTTTTTGTCAAAATGCGCTTTATATCAGTTTCTAACTCCAAAACTTGTTTCAGGCTACTGTGAAAGCATGTTACTTTAGTCTTACTTATTTCAAGTAAAAATGTTAATGTTAACACATATACATGGGCTATGATGATACATCAGCTGAAAAAATAGGAAGTTGTAACATCTTGTATGCATGGATTGTTGCTGGATCTTTGTCTTTAGGAGAGCTCACATAGCATTCCACTGTTTCTTTCCATGCAGATTGCATGGTACAAAGATGGTAAACGCATAAGGCATGGAGAACGCTACCACATGGAAGTTCTGCAAGATGGCAGTGCCAGTCTGCGTCTGCCTGTTGTTTTACCTGAAGATGAAGGAATTTATACTGTCTTTGCCAGTAATATGAAAGGAAATGCCATTTGCTCAGCAAAACTCTACGTTGAGCCAGTTGCACCCACAGCAACTCCAGGTTATATGCCAGGACCAGAAGTTATGAGAAGATATAGGTAGGTACACAGTAATGTATAAATTTCATGAGACTTCAGTCTGCTGTGATAGTCCAAAACCTCATTGCACAGCAGCTAAACAGCTTAAGTTACTGGAGTCTGCATACTTCTAAATGCTGTTTTCATGGCTTATATTGATTTATGTGCCAACTCTGTCTGATTTGCCTTCTTAATAAGCAATTCCTAGAGTACCATCATTCACAAGCATATCCAGCCACAGTATCAGATTTACAACAACAACCGTGTTTATTTCTTAAAGTACTCATGTTCTGGAAAAAAAAAATTCTTCTGCATTTGGTGTTTTAGTACTGTGCAACTCTTACTTCCCACCCTTGAAATAGCTGTATTTCTATGATAGAAAATATCCAGTGTTGCCATGTTCTGTGTTCTGTCTCTGTATACATACACACACATGCACAAACATACACAGGGTTACATCCATATCTGTACAGTATCCAAACCCCAAAAATTTTTGTGGCTGTAGTGTATCCTAATACTATTCAACTGTATAAATAGCTATCAAAAACCTAAAGAAAATTGATTACAAATAAAAATTAATTTTGTCACAATTTCTCACATAGATAAGTTGGTTAACCTCTTTAAAATAAATTGTGCTAAATGCAAAAGTTGAACTCTGTTTATCATGTCAGCCCACTGCTATATGACATTGGCATACACATCTGTCTTATCTTTTCCTTCCAGGTCTATTTCTCCACGCTCTCCAAGTCGGTCTCCTGCCCGCAGTTCTCCTTCTCGTTCTCCTGCTCGCAGATTAGAAGAAACTGATGAAGGACAACTAGAGAGACTATATAAGCCAGTTTTTGTGCTGAAACCTACGTCATTTAAATGTTCACAGGGGCAGACAGCAAGATTTGACTTAAAAGTTGTTGGCAGACCTATGCCAGAGACATACTGGTTCCATAATGGTACATCAGCCTCATTTTCATCAACATATAATCTTAAAAAATGATCTTATATGCATTTTACATCTTGTTGAGACACTGTTTTGAGTGCAACTTTTTTGTGTGTGTGTATCTGCAGGTCAACAAGTGGTTAATGACTACACCCATAAAATAGTGATTAAAGAAGATGGCACCCAGTCATTGATCATTGTTCCTGCCATGCCGGATGACTCCGGAGAATGGGCTGTAATTGCTCAGAATAGGGCAGGCAAAGCTTCAGTCTCAATGACACTGACTGTGGAAGGTATCTACCCTTCGTGCTATTTTAAGAAGGACAAAGAGTGTTTCTTATTAAAAAACATGGTTGTGTCATTTCCTCTTGTGAAAATTTACCCTTGCTCTTTCAGCTAAGGAAGACCTAGTCAGACCACACTTTGTGGAAAGGCTGAAGAATGTTAGCGTAAAGGAGGGCTCTAGACTGCAGATGGCAGTGAAAGCTACTGGTAACCCTAATCCCGACATTGTATGGCTGAAGAACAGTGACATCATTGTACCTCATAAGTACCCCAAAATAAAGTAAGAATTTTTTTTTTTTTAATAGTAAAGGAGTTATAATCACCATCCTGCAAAGTGCCTCCTGTCAGTGTGCTGAATACCCTTGCTTCTGTAGAGGGGATTCACTAAGGACTTAGTCTGATGGCTACTGAAACTACTCACAGCTTTTGCATTGCAGCAAGGCTAAGAGATATAAAATATCTTGTAAGACTCGCTCCATTTTCCCAGATTGTGTATCTGTGTATTTTTTATTCTGCAAAGCCAATGCTTTTACACCAGAGGTTTAGGGAACCTTTATCTGTTTCTGATTTTTGAAGTCCTCTGCAGGCAAAACTGCCGTAGAATTCAAGACTGGTTTTTATTATCCTTATCTATTTGATTGTTAGGCACTGCACTCATAAACATGAATAAACAGAAACAATGTGTTTAATTCCTCCAGAGATTTGCCTTTGGAGGCTTTGACCTCATTTTGGAGAAGGGCAAAAATGAATACCAAAGTAATACAAAAAAAGTTTAAAAAATGTTTTAATATTTCAGGATTGAGGGAACCAAAGGGGCAGCCGCCCTTAAAATTGAGTCTACTGCCCGGCAAGATGCTGCATGGTACACTGCTACTGCTATCAATAAAGCTGGGCGGGACACTACTCGATGCAAAGTAAATGTTGAAATTGAACATGCAGAACCTGAACCAGAAAGGAGATTAATCATTCCAAAAGGAACTTACAAAGCCAAGGAGATTGCAGCACCGGAGTTAGAGCCTCTCCATTTGCGTTATGGTCAAGAGCAATGGGAGGAAGGAGATCTCTATGACAAAGAAAAGCAGCAGAAACCATTTTTTAAGAAGAAGCTCACATCTTTAAGGCTCAAGCAATTTGGACCAGCACACTTTGAGTGCAGGCTTACTCCAATTGGTGACCCAACCATGGTGGTGGAGTGGTTGCATGATGGCAAACCCTTGGAAGCAGCTAACAGACTCCGCATGATCAATGAGTTTGGGTACTGTAGCCTGGACTATGGTGTAGCCTATTCCAGAGATAGTGGAGTGATCACTTGCAGGGCAACTAACAAATATGGTACAGACCATACATCCGCTACTCTGATCGTGAAGGATGAGAAAAGCCTTGTGGAAGAATCCCAGTTGCCAGAAGGCAGAAGGGGACTGCAGCGAATTGAAGAGTTAGAAAGAATGGCTCATGAGGGTGCTCTTCCTGCAGTTGCAGTGGACCAAAAGGAAAAACAAAAACCAGAAATTGTTTTGGTTCCTGAACCTGCAAGAGTCCTGGAAGGTGAAACAGCACGATTCCGCTGCCGTGTGACTGGCTATCCTTTGCCCAAGGTCAACTGGTACCTCAATGGACAGCTCATCCGTAAGAGCAAAAGGTTTAGACTCCGTTATGATGGAATCTACTACCTGGATATTGTGGACTGCAAATCGTATGACACAGGAGAGGTGAAAGTCACTGCAGAGAATCCAGAAGGCTTTATTGAACATAAGGTGAGACTTGAGATCCAGCAGAGGGAAGACTTCAGATCTGTTCTTCGTCGCGCTCCTGAACCCAAACATGAGCCTGTAGTGACAGAGCCTGGGAAACTTCTCTTTGAGGTACAGAAGGTAGACAAACCTGCAGACGCAACAACCAAAGAAGTGGTGAAACTGAAAAGGGCTGAAAGAATCACTCATGAGAAGCTTTCAGAGGAATCTGAAGAGCTGCGTAGTAAATTCAAGCGTAGGACAGAAGAGGGCTATTATGAAGCCATCACTGCTGTGGAACTTAAGTCTCGCAAAAAAGATGAATCATATGAAGAAATGTTAAAAAAGACAAAAGAAGAACTTCTTCACTGGACCAAAGAGATCCCAGAGGAAGAGAAGAAAGCACTTCCTCCTGAAGGCAAAATCACCATTCCAACATTCAAACCAGAGAAGGTTGAGCTTAGTCCAAGCATGGAGGCTCCTAAGATATTTGAACGAATTCAAAGCCAGACTGTAGCCCAGGGGACAGATGCACACTTCCGTGTGAGAGTGGTGGGAAAACCAGATCCTGAGTGCCAGTGGTTCAAAAATGGTGTGCAGATTGAAAGGACTGATCGTGTGTATTGGTACTGGCCTGAAGATAATGTTTGCGAATTAGTCATCAGAGATGTGACTTCTGATGATTCTGCCAGCATCATGGTGAAAGCAGTCAATATAGCTGGTGAAACTTCTAGCCATGCTTTCCTCTTAGTGCAAGGTAATTTAAACTGTCTTACTATTATCCTACTGCTTATCATAGTGTGTTGTCTATATGGCCAGTGCACTGTTGATTCATTGCATATTGTTTTGCAGCCAAGCAGTTAATCAGCTTCACCCAGAAGTTACAAGATATTGTTGCTAAAGAGAGAGACTCCATGGCAACATTTGAATGTGAGACATCAGAACCCTTTGTCAAAGTGAAGTGGTTTAAGGATGGAATTGAGATTCATTCTGGAGACAAATACAGGATGCACTCAGACAGAAAGGCTCATTTTCTTTCTGTACTAGCAATTGAAATGTCTGATGCTGATGACTACAGCTGTGCACTGGTAGAAGACGAATCCATAAAAACTACTGCAAAGCTTACTGTTGAAGGTAAGAAGCACACAACTCAGTACCATGCAATATTGTTAAAGTGAAATCAGCATCAGGATGAAATAAAAAAATTTAATCTGATGTCTAACACACAGAATGTTCAAGCTGCTTTCATATTCTTGGAATCCAGTAAGAAAGTTTGGATATATATTTATGTAAAATGGTTACACCATATATATATATATTAATTTCCTTAGGCTCATTTAATAAGGTATGTTTTCATCATGTATCTAATCAGCCTTATTCATGAACATAATTATTTTTGCCTGTAGGTGCTGTGGTTGAGTTTATTAAAGAACTTGAGGATGTTGAAGTACCAGAATCCTTCTCAGGTGAACTTGAATGCGAAGTTTCACCTGAAGACGTGGAGGGGAAATGGTATCATGGCAATGTTGAACTCACTTCTAATCATAAATATGTGATCGCATCCCGCCGTGGTCGCCAAATCCTCACTATTAAAGATGTAAATAAAGATGATCAAGGAGAGTATAGCTTTGTTGTTGATGGAAAAAGGACTCAATGCAAACTAAAGATGAAGCGTAAGCATTTCTAATACTTAAGTTGTCTCTGTATTATAGCATATATTATAGCTATATCACTATATCCCATACTGCCTTAATGTTAAATATGCTGCTTATCTGTTATGAGGATTAACTTCACTTCATTCCACAGCTCGTCCCATGGTTATTCTTCAAGGACTTACTGATCAAAAAGTCTGTGAGGGAGATATTGTACAACTTGAAGTTAAAGTCTCCCTAGAAAATGTGGAAGGTGTCTGGATGAAAGATGGTCATGAAATTCAATCAAGTGATCGTATTCACATTGTGCTGGATAAACAGTCACACATGTTGCTGATAGAAGATGCAACAAAGGAAGATAGTGGAACTTACTCTTTTAGTGTTCCTGGTCTTGGACTGTCAACCACTGGACGGATCACAGTATATAGTAAGTCATTATCATGATGTTGTAGATTTTGTTGATTTGGGGGTCTTTCAAGAGTACTTCTTAAAGGCATAGTTTTTTTCATGATGGATATTTTTGTAACTTGACAGGTGTGGAAATAGTGGTGCCTCTAAAAGATGTTCACGTAGTTGAAGGAACAAAAGCTATCCTCGAATGCAAAGTTTCAGCACCTGATGTGTCTTCCTCCAAATGGTACCTAAATGATCATCAGATAAAGCCTGATGAACGTGTGCAAGCTGTATGTAAAGGCACTAAACAGAGACTAGTGCTTACCAGAACCCATGCCTCAGATGAAGGACATTATAAGCTAATGGTTGGCAAAGTTGAAACAAGTTGCAATGTCACAGTTGAAAGTAGGTTTACTTTAAGATGTACAGTTCTTTGTGAAATTATTTCTTTAAATACAATCTTTAAATACAAAACTCTGGAAGCAACTAATATATCTGTAATGTATTATTTTTCTAGAAATTCAGATTATTAGAGGTCTTCATGACATCACCTGCACTGAAACACAGAATGTATCCTTTGAGGTCGAACTCTCCCATTCAGGGATTGATGTCATTTGGCATTTCAAAGGCCAAGAGATCAAGGCTGGTCCTAAATATAAAATTGAAGCACGTGGCAAAATATATAAATTGACAGTGGTGAAGATGATGAAAGATGATGAAGGAGAATATGTATTTTATGCTGGAGAGAAGAAAACATCTGGAAAGCTTATAGTAGCAGGTTAGTAGGGTTAAAGTCCAAGATTTTTATTTCACTATGATTTCAAAACAACAATCAGTGTACTGTATTTTTTAATTGTAGCAATGGTACTGTTTATATATTTTTTTGTCTTTAATTTATCTTTTTTTCTGTGTTCTCCTTGCTCTTCCCCTTATCTTTTGTGATTGGCATAATTTGGATTCAACAAAGCTTTTAAATAAATACTTATATGTTTTGATAAATCAGAGCCATAATATGGAATGCCACAGTTGCTTTTGATGTAATTAATGTAAAAAAGTTCTTTGTTTTGGATGTTCACTATACCTGTGATGATAATAGAAATAATAAAGGAGACTATCTAGGATAGACATAAGAAACATCTTTTTTTTTGATGTTCAGATCACATTCTATTCTTGATTTTTCACGGAACCCAGAATGTCCATGGACATGCTGTAAATTAGGGCAAAGAATTCCAGCATCAACTTTTCACATGGTTGCATTTCTGTATGGGGCAAAGTTGAAGAGCAACACAACAAAACCATGTGCTTTTGCTTCCCAACAGGTGGTGCCATTTCAAAGCCTCTTACTGACCTGACTGTGGCTGAGTCCCAGCCAGCTGTTTTTGAATGTCAGGTGGCAAATCCTGAATCAGATGGCCAGTGGCTGAAAAATGGTAGACCATTACCTATGACAGATCAGTACCGTGCTGAATCTGATGGTGTAAAGAGAAGGCTCAATATCCCTGCCACAAAACTGGATGATATGGGTGAATACAGCTATGAAATAGCAAGCTCAAAGACATCTGCCAAACTGAAGGTTGAAGGTCAGTAGTTTTTACAACTAACTGATGTCTTCAAGGCTCAGTCTAGCATCACTCACTGTGTCTTGAATCAGGCCCTAAGATACAAACATATTTTGCTTCATTTTCTGAAAATATTATGATGCGCTTTCTGAGGTAGCACACTTACTGTGTTTTGGGGTCTCCGTATTTGGAATTTAGCATGGTATTTTAAAAAAACCCACATTTTATTCAAGGCACTGGCTAGCACATAGAAACTGACTCTTTACTAGTTGTGTAGTAAACATATAAAATAAAAAAAAACCCTGAACAGTTTCTCATGGATGCTACAAGTAAAAGTCCCTTTTTGTGTTCCAAGCACACCACTACAGTGGAAACTGTATAAATCAGTATACACATACTAGATTTTAAAATGAAGCACCATGATTCAATTTTATTAAGATTATTACATTTACTATAATTTCTACTTTTGATCTGTTTTGTCAAGTTTAGTTTTTCTTTTTTTTTTCCTAGCTGTTAAGATAAAGAAGACACTAAAAAATTTGACTGTGACAGAAACACAGGAGGCAGTTTTCAGTGTAGAACTGACCCACCCTGATGTGAAAGGAGCTCTGTGGATTAAAAATGGTGTTGAACTTGAATCAAATGACAAATATGAAATTTCAGTGAAAGGAACTGTTCACACACTGAAAATCAAACACTGTGTTGTCACTGATGAGTCTGTTTATAGCTTCAAGCTTGGAAAGATAGGAGCAAATGCCAGACTTCATGTGGAAAGTAAGTCAATCTGGGTTGAATATTTGCTTTAATGTGTGGTTTGAAATTCAAATCGAACATATTGCTGAATCTGGACAACTTTTTTCCTTAAGCTGTCAAGATCATCAAAAAGCCAAAGGATGTGACTGCTTTGGAAAACGCTGTCGTCTCCTTTGAACTGAGTGTATCCCATGACACTGTACCAGTCCGATGGTTCCACAAAAATGTTGAGCTTAAACAAAGTGATAAATACAAGATGATCTCTCAAAGGAAGGTTCACAAGCTTATGCTGCATAACATATCTCCTGCTGATGCTGGGGAATACACAGCTCTTGTTGGGCAAATTGAGTGTAAAGCAAAACTGTTTGTGGAAAGTAAGTATTGTAAGTTTGTAAGAAAGTAATTATATGAAATGCTACACCAACTCATATTGAATAACTTGACCTGATGACTTCATAGCTTGTTACCCTAGGGTTTTTTTGCAGTCTTCCACACATACTGACTTTAAAAAATCCTTTCTTTTTTTTTTGTGTCTTTTTTTTCTCCCTCTTAGCCATACACATCACAAAGACCATGAAAAATATTGAGATCCCTGAGACCAAAACTGCCTCTTTTCAATGTGAAGTTTCTCATTTCAATGTGCCTGCTGTCTGGTTGAAAAATGGTGTGGAGATTGAAATGAGTGAAAAGTTCAAAATAGTGGTCCAGGGGAAACTTCATCAGCTCAATATCATGAACACAAGCAGTGAAGATTCTGCAGAATACACGTTTGTCTGTGGAAATGACAGAGTCAGTGCAACTCTGACAGTAAAACGTACGTAAAAATGAAATTAACCAGAATATTTCACAGCTACCAATAATAGAGTTTGTGCTAATACATGCACTAGGTGCAATTCAGACAAAACCAGCACTGTTGTAGAAGTATTTTCAAATAACCTTGAACAGTCTTGATTACATTTTTAAAAGAGATCTAGAAGCTGTGAACTTGAAAGTCAGATCCTGGATTCTTCTGTTTAGGCCAACATGCCTAAATGCCAAGTCACCACAGGAGACAGAATTTGGATTCCTATGTCATTCAGAAGTTTGGGAAAATCTAATTGTAGTTCTGATTCTCGACACAGAGCCTTCTTTAAACATCTCTGATCCAGTTAACAAGTGTTTAAAATAAAGCAAACCAGAACAAAAAACCTGAAACCATGTCCATTTCTTTTCTTTTAGCCATTCTAATAACCTCCATGCTAAAAGACATCAATGCTGAAGAGAAAGATACAATAACATTTGAAGTTACTGTTAACTATGAAGGTATCTCATATAAATGGCTAAAGAATGGGGTAGAAATAAAATCGACTGATAAATGCCAGATACGAACAAAGAAGCTCACACACTCCCTCTCCATAAGGAATGTGCATTTTGGTGATGCTGCAGAATACACTTTTGTTGCTGGAAAAGCAGCTTCATCAGCCACTTTGTATGTGGAAGGTATTTATCCTCTTGATTTGTCTATTTAGTGACTTCTAGTAGCTTAAATAGCATCATGGCACTGATTCTACTTTTTTTTTTTTTTTTGCCCTAGCTCGTCACATTGAATTTAGGAAGCATATTAAAGACATCAAGGTTGTGGAGAAGAAAAGAGCTATTTTTGAATGTGAAATTTCAGAACCTGACGTTCAGGTCCAGTGGATGAAGGATGGGCAAGAACTCCAGATTGGTGACAGGTAAATGATTGCTTCTACACCATCTTGACTTTTGCTATATATTTTCCCCCAGGAAATAACTTGCTCGTTTTCTTTCCTGATGTCCTTAGGATGAAAATTCAGAGAGAGAAATATGTCCATCGTCTCATCATTCCTTCTACAAGAATGTCTGATGCTGGTCAGTACACTGTAGTAGCAGGTGGAAACACATCCAGTGCCAATTTGATTGTGGAAGGTCGTGACATTCGTATCAGAAGCATCCGTAAAGATATTCAGGTATGCCCTATACAGGAGAACAAATATTTCCTACCTTTGTCATGCAAAGAAAAATGCAAAGGAAGAGCAACAATATCTAACCAGCAAGAGTCCTAACACAAAAATCTGTAATCATAAGGTCAGGGCTGTCTTCTAGGAAACTGAAATGTGGGACTATCTGTAAAAACAAATGCTATTTCCAATATTTATTCTATTTGTTCAAAGGTCATTCAGAGACAAAGAGCTGAAATTGAATTTGAAGTCAATGAAGACGACATTGAACCACAGTGGTACAAGGACGGTATTGAGATCAACTTCCAATATGAGGAAAGATACAGTTATGTGGTGGAAAGGAGAGTTCATCGAATGACCATCTTTGAAACCACTTACTCTGATGCTGGAGAATATACTTTTGTTGCAGGACGGAATAGGAGTTCTGTTGTTCTCTATGTGAATGGTATGTGTTCCCGCAAACAATGCTTTGACTGTATTTATTATCCTGTGTTTTTCTGATTTCTCTATGGTTTTTCTGGAATTCTAACTCAGAAAGTAAAAAAACCCAAACAACCAAATCTAAAGAGAATCTTATGTCTGGTACACTACCAAAATCCACATATACATGGATGTTTCTTGCTCCACTGAAATAGCTGGCTAGCTGTTGAAAATGCTACAGCAGTTCTTTTCCCCACTGTATTTATTTAGACCAGGAAATTCTCAAGTCCAAATAAGATTAATTTGTTCATATGGACAAATACACCTTGCCAGAGGGATCAGCCTAAGAATTCTTGGACACCTTTTGCTAGAAAACACTTACACCAACACAGCTTAATGTTAAGCTTGGTGTTAAGGCATTTGTTGCTAGAGCATTGCTCTTGTATCAGGAAAAGGACAGATTTTCATGGGCATGCAAGATTGGGAATATTAAGATTAAAAAAAAAAAAATCCTTGCTAATGTTTCTGAAGCCTTGATACATATCAATAATGAGATTTCTCTCCTTCCTTCCCCTTCCCCCTCCAATTTGCAGCTCCAGAGCCACCCCAGATTATTCAGGAGCTAGAGCCAACCACTGTGGAGTCTGGCAAACCTGCCCGCTTCTGTGCTATGATATCAGGCAAACCCCAGCCCAAAATTTCCTGGTACAAAGATGATCAACAGCTTTCTCCAGGTTTCAAGTGCAAATTTCTTCATGATGCACAAGAATATACTCTATTGCTGATTGAAACTTTCCCTGAAGATGCAGCAGTGTATACCTGTGAAGCAAAAAATGACTACGGAGTTGCTACAACTTCAGCTTCACTTTCAGTGGAAAGTGAGTTTCCTGTGCTCTTAACAGTGTCTGTGAAATGAGATTTTCAACATGCATGCAATTTTCTTCATCTTTAAAAATTACTTCTTTTTTCTTATTCTTTAGTCCCAGAAGTTGTTTCTCCTGAGCTAGAAGTGCCAGTGTATCCACCTGCTGTCATAATGCCGCTACGTGATGCTGTTACATCCGAGGGACAGTCTGCTCGTTTTCAGTGCAGAGTTACAGGGACAGGTGGGTTTAATGAAATCCCGTACATCTTTTCATCCTGAACTCAGAAAAAATGTAACAGTATATGTGCTGGATCAGGCTTTCCCTGGAAATATGGTTGATTGAAACACACACATAGCAAAGTGCTACTCGCTGACAACTATCTGTTAAGCAAGTCACATGTCAAACATTAAGCATGGAATTTATGAATTGTCACAAACATTAAGCATTTCTAAAAAGAAGCTTTCAAAAACTTGTCTTTGGAAGCTTCTCAGTATTTCAAATGTTAACTGATGTTGGAAAACTGTGTCAGTGAGTAAAATGCAGTTTCAAGACAGAGTAACATGGTGGAAGAGCATTACCGTGTTAAATGAACATGATGAAGTTTCTGATGACACACAGTGTCACGTCGATTAACTAAACAAACAGACTGAAACTGTGCCTCAACCTTTACTATCCTAATATTCCTAAGTATCTCGTCTCACTCTGCAAACACTAAACTGTAATTGCATTCTTTTTCCTAGCATAAAAAGGTGTTTGCTGATTGTGTTTTTAAGTGTAGATTTTCCTTACATAAGCTTGCTAGTTCTAGTCACATGGAATATCATTCTACAATTAAAATAATTCTTTCCAAGTTAACAATAAAACAAGTAACACTACATTTCTTCACTTCAATAAATGGCCTTGAGTATGACTAATAATAAAATATTCACATGGTAAACTGCAGAATAAGATCCAGTTCCAATCCCAAAGTATTTACAATTGTTTAAAGATAAATCAAACTCCAAATTTAAAAATAATCTTGGGTGATAGTTGTTTAAAAATCCACATAAAATTGGTAATATAGATATACATGCAAACATAGATAATTTGTATTTCTATCACTTGAAATCAAACCCAAACATTTTAAAGAAAGCTTTACAACAAATCTGATTCTGCCTTAAAAGTGGTGCTAAAACTCAGAAAATATATGTCAGAAAGACTAGTCCGCCCTCTGTGCAAAGCATACTAATGTATCTTTTTTTTACAAGTGTATTCATGTGAATGTGGAAGCTGCATTTACAGCACAGAGCATAAGGATCTTTTCATCCAGGTCTTTTTCATAGAACCATAGAATCGTTTAGGTTGGAAAAGACCTTTAAGATCGTTGAGTCCAGCTGTTAACCTAGCACTGCCAGGTCCAACACTAAACCATGTCCCTAAGCACCACATCTAGATGTCTTTTACATACCTCCAGGGATGGGGACTCAACCACTTCCCTTGGCAGCCCATTCCAATGCTTGATAACCCTTTCAGTGATGAAATTTTTCCTGTTGAAAATTTCCTTTATTGAATACTCTATCCAAATGGATTTGTATACCTCTCAGTTGTGTTGTGAAAACCTTATATATTGGGTTAGGCAATACATGATTACAAATACAGTTGTTTAATGGTACACACTATGCAGCTGGCTATTGAAAACACTGTCTCTTTCTTCTGATGACAGTAATAGCACACTATTGTGTGAAAACATTTGATTCATGATGTAATATAGGGCCAGGTGGAGAAGGAGGGTTAAAGTCTACTTCAGTCCTTTCCCAAGTCTACAAGAGCATATACAAGCCAAGTAACACAATATTTTATATATGAATTTTACAAAGGTGCAAAGACAGGACCTTTCTTGAGAAATATGAGGTGTAAAACTTATCATATTTGCAACAAAAAGAGACAAGGTACTGTCTTCGGCAAAAGGATGTTCCATTTTGATTTCTTTAACCTGTTCAGCTCAACCTAGTGATTTTATAGCCTGTTTATTCAGGCAACTGTAGCATATTTCCTTTTTAAAAATGAGACTTTCTCTGATTTTAGTAGTAGCAAAATATTTTTAAATTTATACATTAAAAAGAGAAAGGAAAATTATTTTTGCTTGGGAATATAGCAGCACCAGAATCAGTTTTCCCATACAAATATTTGCAATGCAGAAGGCAAAATTTAAAGCAACAAGTAGGCCATTTTCCACTGATCATACATTACCAAAGTAACACAAGGCGCATTTAAACTTAAAAAAGATACTTGAGATTAAGATTTCTGACAGATATAAATATAAAAATAGTGTTCATTGACTAGTCTAATGTAATAACTTACATATTTTTTCTTGAGCAGATCTGAAAGTCTCTTGGTACAGCAAAGAGAGAGAGATCAAGCCATCGCGGTTTTTTAGAATGACTCAGTTTGAAGACACTTACCAGCTGGAGATTGCTGAAGCTTATCCAGAGGATGAAGGAATCTATACCTTTGTGGCTAGTAATTCTGTAGGCCAAGTGACAAGCACTGCTACCTTGAAGTTAGAAGGTACAGTGTAAAGTTAAAGAAGATGTCTTGTTTAGGTCATGTTCCAATACTAATCTTAATATACACTGATGGTTATATGTGATTCATTGTCTGTCATATTGTCTTTTAACTCAATTAATTGCTACCATTTACAATGTCCACAGCATACATTTATGTCTCCAAACTATAGCTCATGCACAGGAAAGCGTATTTCATGGTTTTTCAATGTTCCACGCTCCTCACCTTTTTGTTCTCTCCAGTATTAGAATCCGTCATGCACCACACATGGTAGAAACCTTCTTTCTAATGGAAGTTCTTTGCTTACACATTCTTTGATTTGACTGTGAGGAGAATCTAGCAAGAGTTTTTGTATAAAATATATTACTTTGAAAGTGTTGGAAAACATGTTAAACAAAGGTGTGTACCAGGTACTTGGGCAGCTGAAAAGAAATAGTTTACATTCATATGAACTGATGAAACATTGACCAAAGTTTTAGAGCAGAAATATTGTCTGGAGAATTTGCTGTTTAAGTTCTATATTTTCCTTGATATTATTTAACCATAAATATTCTGTTTTCTTTTTTGCAACAGATTTTATAAATGATGAATTAGAATAATTCATGCTGTTAAGTTACAAGTTAAAAAAAAAATCTTGAATGAGAAAGAAAATGTATTGTAGTGTAGGGTAAGAAATTAAAAGTTGGCATGCTTCTTTTCAGGATTTAAAAAGGTTGAAGAAGTTACATCAGAGTCCCATTGGCATGTTTCTTCATCTGTTTCACTTAAGGAGGAGTCTATTGGCCAAAGGCCCACCTTTATCCAGCCCATTTCAAGCTGCAGGGTATGCAGCGGGGAATCAGTCAGATTTCAAGCTAGAGTCTCTGGCATGCCCAAACCAAAAATCCAGTGGTTTCATAATCAACAACTCATGTTGCCAACAAAAGACTTAGTTTTCCACTTTGATGAGTCTACAGGCACAGCTATACTGATAATAGTAGATGCTTTCTTAGAGCATGCTGGCCAATACTCTTGCAAGGCAAGAAATAGTGCCGGAGAAACAACTTGTACAGCTACACTTACAGTGACTGGAGAAGGTAAAGCCCCATTTTTACTTCAAAGGGATGCAGTCTGTTGTATACCACACTTTTACGCTGTTACTAATGTTCTTTCCTTGTTTCACACCTTTTCTTTCCCAGCTAATGTTAGTAGTACCTACCCTTTGTAACCCAGCCACTCTCATTTCTTCTAAGCTGTAACATTCAGAAATTTGCAAATTTGTGTGTTGATATGGGTCAAAGAATAGGATCATTTTGCTGAAGGCATTCAGATTTTTAAAACAAGTAATTAAGTGATCATTATAGCTTTGATTGAGGTATTTTACAATATCCTGCAGGGGAAAAAAAAAAAAAAAGAAAATACCTCCTTAAAAAGTTCCATAATACATTTCCAGTACTAAAATAGACAATTTCAGTGAAAGAAAAGACAAGCATCAACTGTATATAAATTGCATGACTAGCTTAGGAGTCCCTTGTCGTTCATATATGTGAATAATCTTTGTGTCAAGAGCATAGTGCATATGGCATGCTGAGTCTTCAAATGAAGGTAGTTCATTTTCATCCTCCATGCTGTTTTGATTTTGTTCATAGCATGGCCCAGTAAAGTTCTTTAGATACTAATACTGTTATTTTTGTTACTTGATTACACAGTGCAAGCCCTAGATAGGCAAAGTTCTGGGAAAGATGTAAAAAAGTCACAGGCTCTAGAACTTCATGTTGCTCCTCTCACAAAGAAGAACATTAAAACTTATCAAAAAGAATTTAAATCAGTGCAACAACCATCACAGGAATTGGGTGTACAGGTTTTTGAAAGTGTATCAGAAAGTTTGACCATGAAGGCTACATCAGTTGAAGAAATGGAAGCCATGCACACAACAATCCTTTCCCAAACGTCTCAGAGCACCAGGATCTCTATGGCCACTGCTCAGGAAATGAAAGATGTCCCTCCAAAGATTCTCTTGAAGCTCAGAGACCTAACTGTGAAATGTGGTGACACTGCTCAGTTCATATGTGGCTTAGAAAATGAATTCTTCACTGAGTTTTTTTGGGCCCATGAGGGTGAAAGGATAGAATTGTCTGAAAAATTGAAGATATCACAGAATGGAAGTGTCCTACTACTCACAATCCTAAATGCCCAGCTGACAGATCAAGGACTGTACAGTTGTACTGTATATAATGATTACGGAGGGACAACAACTGCTGCAATACTAACAGTCAAAGGTGGTTATCTGACTTTTAACATTATGACTTACCTTTTGCAATTTCATTATCAATGCCTACAGCTCACTCCTATTTCCTTTATTATCAGTATTTAATTGAGAAAGCTCTAATAATAATGCTTTGGGGTTTTTCCTCCACATTTACAGCTCTATTCATAAGTGATATGTGCAGTTCTGGGAAGTTGGTATTGTAACTTCATGCCTCTTCCCAGCAAGTCACAGATGTCTGAGGCTTTTTATTCCTTATATCCTTCAGAGATGTAAAGCAAAACAGGCTGGTAGGAATTTTTACATTTTGAAAATTACTGAAGCTGAAGTTTAGGGAAGATAAGAATGTCAGATGAGCAGTGTTGAACTAGATACATAGTAATTTCAAACTTGTCTCCAAAAAAATACAAGATTCCAATTCTAAGCTTGGCAATATAGGTCAATGTACTTGAAAGGATTGATGGGTGCAAGTATTGTATTGCTGCACTAATGAATTGTCTTCTAACCTTCACTCTCCCTGAGACATAAGTATGCATTTTTGCTAAGATTCCTTCCACTTCTTCCTGACATCAGCATGTTAAAATGTCAGTGGTGTTACCACTAGTGTAGAGGCAAAAATCTGTTATCACCACACTGGACAGGTGATAGTATTTCTGCTGAGCTCAAAGGCATCAACAGCAGAAAACTAAGATGCATAATGAGTAAGCCATTGACCCTGTTGATTTGACTATTACATATTGAAGTTTCTCCCTTCACTCTTGAGCTGTGCAAAGCACTTTACATAGTCTGCTGCTACGTTCTAAATTGAGGCTCTCAATTAAAAGTAAAGGTGTACTTGTACTAAGCATTACAGACCAAGTCTTGGTCCCATGAAGGTCTCAGAGACTTAACTGGTACCTAGAATTAGCCCAGCAGGA